AGTCACCGTCCGGCCGCCTTTTCCCCAGCCACCACTGACCCAAACCCTGCGGCCCTGCTCCAGGGCCTCCCCGCGCTGCCTCTCCCCCAGCACTGGCTTCAGAGCCCCCCAGAACAGGGGCTGTGAACCCCGGTAATGCCGAGGGGGGTAGGAGGCAGAGCCCAGCCCTGGGGATGCACTGGGGCACCCCGAGGGGAAGGCTGGTGTCCGGCGCCTCTTTCCCCTTTCTCGTGAGTCAAGCTGAAAACATAAATGAAAGGAGCAGAGGCGCAGGCGTCGCGGCCCTGCCACCCCCTCGGGGTCAGGGTTTCGTGACACTTCCAGGCGGATTCAGCACCGAAGCAGCTGCCTGGGTGTCGGGACAGCCCCGCGGAGGCTGCAGTTACTCACTGGCCCCTGGGTGCCACGGCTCCCGGCCGGGGACGCGGGGTGAACTCATGCTCACGTGGAGGAATTTCCAACAAGAATTTGCCAGCGGCTCCGCTCCACCCAGGCACGCAGGCACCCGCGCAGCCCATCGCCCTCCCGGGCTCCGTTTCCCTCCCCTGCCCAGCGCACGCCTTGGCCGCTTACTCTCCCCAAAATAAGGGTTTTGGGGAGCCTCAGGGCTGCGGTCAGGAAACCGAACAGAAATGAAGCAAAACCTGGTTCTACAAAAGCACCGAATTATAGAAAAAAAAAAAGCAGGGGGTTTGTCCGAGTCTCTGAAAGCCCAGCACGGGGCAGCAAGCCGAAGGAAGCGGCCACCCGCGGAGGGCTGGGCTGAGCCTGCAGGGACGCCGAGGCTGTCCCAGTCATCCCAGTCCCAGTCCCACACCCAGGTTGTCCCGGATTTCCCGGGGGCTGCCCGGCCGCCCCCTCCTGCACGGCAGAAGGGAGGCGTCGCGCTCACAGCGCGGCGATGGCCTTGGCAGCGACACGGCGGCCCAGGGGCAGGCTGAGATCCGTGATGGCCAGGACAATTTTAGGACTGGACATGGTGGACACTTTCACCAGCTCCGAAACCTGCCCGGAGAGAGGAGAAACACAAGTGACCCACGGCGGCGCTGCGGAGAGGGGAGCCGGGCAGCGGGAACCCCTGGGCATGCCTGTGCCGTGGGACCCGCGCCCCAGAGCGCCCCATGAGCCCGGGGAAGGACGTGGTGGCCACGGGACTCACCATGGTGAAGGGCATGAACTGGAGGATGCTGCCGCGGCTGCCCTGCTCCAGGCAGTCCACACACTCCTCCATGAACCACTGGACAAACTGGGTGTGCGGGCCGGCTGTCTTGGCCCCCAGGATGGAGGAGATGAGCAGGAAGAGGTTTGCTGTGGAGACAGAGAAATGTCAAAAGCCAGGCCGGTTCAGGGGGACTGGGGGGGTGGCTTGAGGCCCCCGCAGAGGGGATGGGTTCCCCCCTCTGTGTCTCGGCACGGCCAGGCCTCGCCGCCGTTACCTAGCACCCTGTTCAGCGGGTCCCTCATGCTGACGGTGTGGAGCTGGGAGGCGGAGAGCGAGCTGCTCATCGAGCGATCTGTTGGGGAGGAGAACAGGCGTCAGGCTGTGGGGAGGCCACAACGGCCTCTTGGCCCTCTCGGCCGTGCCAGCGGGCCCACCCTGGCCAGCCTGGGCCATTTGAGCTTGCCCAGCCCTTGGGCTCCAGGAGGGGCCTTGCCATGGGCTACTCCATGGCGTGGGAGAGGTTTGGAGCAGTCCTTGGCACCCTCCGTACCCAAAATCAGCAGAGTCTGTGCTGCTCGGGCACATGAGAGACGGGCAGCAGGCACCCAGTCACCCTCAGTCACTGTCCCACTCGGCCGGGGCATGGGCAGCGCTGGCAGGGGCACAGGGGGCACAGGCAGCCCTGGCAGGGGCACAGGGGGCACAGGCTGCCCTGGCAGGGGCACAGGGGGCACAGGCAGGGTCACAGGCCCACACATGTCCCAGGCATGACAGAGCCCAGCAGCCCGGGGAGGGCTCCACATGCTGCCACTGCTGCCCTTGGGGTGTGACACTTGGCTCTTGCACAAGCCAAAATTTATTGCGAGCGTGACCAAGTTTAATGGTATCTCCAAGGGGTAAGGATGAGTGAGGCCGTGAGTGAGCCTCCCCACTCGGATTTAATTGCGGGAGTGACTCGTCCCTGACGCTCCGCGAGGGCACGAGCGTGTAACGCAATGTCACGATCCGCAGAGGAGAAGGGCAGCGCTCGGCCGAGGCGGGGCGGAGCCAGCCAGATGTTCAACAGCTGCACAGCACCCCTCACACCTCGCTCTCGGGGTCCAATCCAGCTCCCAGCGCCGGAGCGTGTCCAACAGACACGCAGCAAATCTTGAGACAGAGCAAGGGGATTGATCTGACCCGAGCTGTGAAGCTCCCCTGGGTGCTCCTGAGGGAGAGGAACTGGGGTGTCTCCAGTCCGAGGGGACGGGAATCTCCCGGGAAGGCTCTTGTTCAGACCCCCACCGCTGCCAAAATCAGCGGGACCCACCTTGTGCTGCTCCCGAAGATGCTCACTAAAATAAGAAAACCCTCCCACACTTTTCTCATGGAATCACATGAGTTACGTGGCTGCTGCAGGAAGCAGCGTTTCCACATCGCTGCAACAAACAGCCCAAAAAAGTCCTGAGTGTCACTGGAAAGAGGTGGAAGTGCCTCAAAAGTTAAAAAAAGATAGTGAAATAAAGGGAAAACCCCGCATTTCAACAATAATGAAACCAACAAAAACCACAGGTCAATGGATGCGTTGAAAATTAATAAATAAAGAGTCACTTTGGATAAAGGCATCAAGAGAAACAATGACCAAGGAACATCCTGACTCACTGTCCAGGAGTCCAGACAATGTATGTGGGAGCCGTGACAGCACCCGCCGCGGCAGGGGGGCACGGACACCCCCCGGCACGTCCTGCCGGAGCTGTCGCAACACACGGCACCGCGCTGCGGGGACACAGGGACGTGACCGTGGGGACTCATCGGCTCCGCTCGCTGCCTTGTTAACATCAGGGGAATTTCAGGATTTAAGGCACAGACACCAGGAGCGTCACCTCCTGCCCCTCTGGCTGCGGCACATCGGCTCCTCGGCCCCACGCGGGCTGGCTGGGGGTGACAAGGCTCTAAGGACACTTCCCCGAGCCCCTCGCGCGTTGGGTGGCAAGGTCGGGGAGGGGAGGTGTAGCCTCATTGCCTTTCCTGAGTTGTTTTCATCAGAGAAGTGAAGAGCTTGACCTTTCCTAAGTGCAAAAGCTTCCAGGGTACCCCAGCAAAACACACTCGAGCGCTCTAAACCTTCCCCTGGCCAGCTTGGGAAGAGAAGCCTTTTTGTGCCAATACACATTTTACACCCAGAAAGGAGCAGTGAGGCAGGACGGTGCCTCCCCCAGGAGCTGCCCCCCCCCTGCCCACACTTACTGGGGCTGGAGAGGACGTTGGCGTCCTCCTCGTTGGAGCTGAGCAGGCGCATGAGCTTGGAGGGCTGCGTGTCGTCCAGCGGGAACAGGCTGATGTAATCCCTGTCTCTT